CTGGGGGAGTTTTGTCGACAAATGTTAAATTTTTCACCCGCACACAGATGGTGATAGACATCTCGGGGGCCGCTGTTGGGTTTGTTCTGAGCATTTCTTTACACACTGGTGTATTTCAGCATTTGTACGGCAACAGAGCGATTTAAAACCTGCAAATAAATCACGGGTTGTCAATTGCTTCCTTCGTGAAATAGCAGACGCTCACAATTCAAGCTCGCGTTTGATTTTGTTGCCCGCGGAACGCGATTTCTATCAGAAAATCTACTTTTTTTTCCGTTCGGTTCCGCGACACATCGTAGCAGACGAACCCTTGTCGTCTGCTTCCGCTCCTCGCCGGCCCCACCGCCCCACCGGAGCGAGGCATGACGGGATTGCATTTTGGCGCACTCCCGATTTTCTCGGTGCAGCGAGTGCATGCACGCGTGGGGTGTCAGCGCTGAAACGAACTCGGAGAGTGCAACCACTCGTGGAGTGCCGGCCGAAACGAACCCGTTCCACGCTGCGAGTGGGCACGCGTGGGCACGAGTGCCGTGAAACGAACTCGCTATTAGATACGAGCTTGAGTGGCCACGATGTGTCACGTGTGTAAGTTGCCATTAAAGAAAGAGATAAAAGGGCCCGAGAAAGAGGAGTGTGGGGCTTTTGTTTTGGGGAAGGTGGGGGAGGAACGGCATGGCATGGTGGAACTATCGATACTGGACGGAACAAAGCGTCTCAAACAACTGGTGGAACTCTCCGGACTGGACGGAATAAAGTGGCTCAAACAACCGTGAAGATCCTCGTCACAGTTGTTCGAGGCACCTTGTTCCGTCCAGTCTGGATAGTTCCACCATGTCGTTCGTCCCCGCCACCCCAAAGCAAAAGCCCCCACGCTCCTCTTTTTCGGGCCCTTTTGTCTCCTTCTTTAATCGCAACCCACACACATGACACTTTGTGGCCACTCGAACTCGTATCTAATCAAATTCGATTACACCCGACCGCCATGCCAAACTTGCTTAGCTAAGCATGACACCGCCGCTGACACACAGCTAGTACATTACACAAACGACAGCGTGCAGACAGTAGAGAGTTTTAGGGAACCGTGTTTTCACATCCGAAACGGTACGATATGGGACCTCCGGTACGACCTGCGCATGTGCGAGCCTTCTGCGGTACCACATGCGCAGTTCCTACCGGAGGGCCCTTCGTAGCGTATCGGATGTGCAGAAACGATTCCCTAAAACTATTGCCTCAGGGGGGTTTTCTCTTGCAGCGTGACGGCGCATTGGTCGTACAAAAACTGCCTACAAACGTGTTTGAAGCAATGCAGGAAGCTCTTCGAAAATGCTCGAGGCCTGTCCGCAAATAATCCTGTCATTATGTTTGCAGCGAATAAAGTGTCTTTCGTACATTGTATAACAAGCAGTGCGACTGTGGCTTTATACTACTGTCATTCAAACTACTATGGTGGTGAAAAGTGCTCACTTAGTGCACTCACCTAAAAGGTGAAACATAATGCTCCCGACAACACCCTTTCGAAAGAAAAAAAAAATCACAGATGTCGTATTAGCGTTTACAGTGTCGTGCAGTGTACGATGCCGCACACAATGGACACCATTACGTCTCCCGTAAATGGGGATTTGGGTCTTGAGGTTTCCTTAATTAATTTAATTTTGTCGTCGGACAAATTCCCTCCCTCAAGCGTCGCGTTGCGCAGATCACCGTGATGACCTCTTTCCGTGCGTGGAGACTATTAAAAACAGATCAGACGATCGTTATATCCCCTCGCAGGTGCAGTTCCGAGTTTGCACTCCACGTGCCCTTGGACGCAAAATGGATCCTTCGTTGTCTCGTTCCTCGTTCGCACTGTGCTGTACAGCAGTGCATTATTGTAAGCTTCGTTTCCTCTCCCTCTCCCGCCCCCCCCCCCCCTTTTTTTTATTTTGCTATTAATTTTGTTGAGCTGACGATGGATGCATTCTGAATCGGGGCATAATTTCGGCCCCAGTCAGTTCTCGACGCAGCGACTCAGAGCTGACCGTTAGGCGACCCACGATCGATCAGCCTTTAATTGTAATCTAATGCAGCTGACCGTTCGTCGTCTCCGACCGGCCAGACACCTCGAAGCATCCGGGTCTCTGTTGTATCGTTTTTGGCGCTTGAGATTTGTTGGACTTGTGCGCGCGCTTGACGTCTTTTATTTTGTTCGCTTATTTTTTCGCTGAACGTCGCGTGATGCGCGAAGACAGGCTCGTGATCGGGAGGTTGCACCTCGCACTTCCGCTTCATTTCTCGTCAGATGTCGACAGTCAATAAAACTCGCCGAAATAAAAAAAAAAAAAAAGTTGTTGCGATAGAAACCAGTTTGGCACACGGAGAGGACCCCTGGATGCAGTCGGATATGTTGACTGCCACGGTGCACCTGGTGCCGCAATGTGTAAACCCATCAAGTTGATTTATCCAACTGGATACGTACGGTAAACAGGACCTGTTTGGTGTGGGAGGCATACAGCTTATCTATTCAGTGGAGATCACTGCTCATCGCTACCCTTGTGGTGTGTCTCGCACGCTACATTTCATAGAGCGCTATGTACTGACAACAACAACGACACACTTTACTAAATTGCTGCCTTTTTGTAGTCCCTTTAAAGCTAGAATTGCATGAGGCGTGCAGCGTCATCACTCAAAGGGTCAGCAAGCGACGTATTAGTTGTGTTGTACCGCGTCCCTTTGTGTGCGTATAGTCCTTGTATCGTTTTACACCCCTTCGATGTGGTTTTGTGGTGGCAGGTTTATGTCCACTGCCTTGCCCGCAATCTGAACCCACCAGTATATATATAAAAGAAAAGTAAGTACAAAAAGTGAGATATATTTTTGGCATGAGATCCTTAAAGCGTTTACTGCAGGATACATTTTGCCCGTATATTATAGCCGCACCGTACCGTGAGACGACATGCCGCTCCGTGGAGATTGCGCACGCTTGGTTATAGAGCAGCGCTGAGAAACACTGGACCCAGTTTGTCTTTGATGCTCGCCGGCCGACACTTGGCAGAGTGCGACACCCCGTTCACTTTCCTGACCTCATACACAGAATCGATGGAGAAAAGAAAAAAAAAAGTTATTCCTCGCCCTGACCTTTACGTTGAATGAAGACCGATCGGTAGCGGTAACCATGGCTGCCGTAGGTCTGTTGTGTCTGTTGATGAAACGCCCATTGTCTGCCGTGCACGACCGTTGCGCCGTCTCGCGCACTTGCGATTGTTTCGTTGTTTTGTTGTTTTTTTTTTGACGCGACACTGCTTGGTTTTGTGTTCAGTGTATGATCTATGGCAGTCGACTAATTCGATATGATTGTCCTTTTATGAGTCGTTTAATGATTGCGATGGATAGGGTCGGGGCGCATTATGTCTTGGGAAACTGCGGGGCTTCGGCTTGCGTTTCATCTGCGAGAGGCGTGAACTTAGGGGCTAATCTTGATTTCGTGTAATAATAATAATAATAATAATAACGATAAAGCTCTCTTCTAAACAGGTATTCCATTTGCTAACTCGTAGCGTCATGTGGAGATGAATAGCATCCCCTCAAGCAATTACCATAGTTATTCGTGTATGCCGAAGTGAAATCCTCTATGTCAAAATAGGACGTGATTTGTGACAAAGGGGGGGGGAGGGGGGGGGGGGGGGGGGGGGGCACCGGAGGCCCTGTTAAGCGCTGATTTGTGGGGCACCTGAAAGCTTAAAATGACTGCAATAATGAGTTTGTGACTGCCTTTCTGCCCCCTCGTTTGATCACATTCAATATATTTTGTTTCTTTTGATACCTGGTTCGATACCAGGACCGGGCGGATGTTTTCGGTGGCGCACCGGTCACCTAGCTTTGTTTGGAGATTTGTGCTTGTCCTTTGTCCCCTTTCTCCGGGGATATTTTCGTCATCCTTGTCCAGCTCGCTTGCACCTTTGCATTAATTGCATTATCATCATAACCTTAAAATACAGGCCGTTCACCCTTCTGTTAGACTGGTGGCAGCTGATAAAACCCGTTTGCTCTGCTCTTGGTTAGCTCAGTTGGTAGAGCGCTCCACTGTAAATGGAGAGGTCCCTGGCTCGATACCAGGACCAGGCGTACTTTTTCGGGCGCTGATCAGTCACCTAGCTGTGTTTGGAGACTTGTGGTTTTCCTTTGTTCCCCTTTTCCAGTGATCATTTTCGTCGTTCGCTATTTTGTTTGTTCTTGAACCACGTATTGATCTACCAGCTAACCTCTATGGGATTTCTTCGTTTTTCATTCTTGTATATCTATTTCTGCCCTGTTGATACTTCACTAAGACCGTGAAACGTGGTTTGAATACTTTTACTCGCCGCCGGATTACACTTTCGTCCCCGCGAATGTGCGCCGACACGACGAACCAGTTGGAACTTGGGAGAAGCGCCTCCCCCTACGCTCCCTCCTAGGGAGGCTGTAGTGAGGGTGGGCGCAACTCAAAACCTGGAGAGCGTTTGCAATTTAATGGCGGCGCCAGAGGGAGAGGATTCGAGAAAGGATATGCGCCAGTGTTGCCTGCACGAGAGCAGGCGCCCGCTCTGTTGCAACTCTGTTGCTCCATGCGCCTTTCCTCCTCTCGCCTCCCATTGCAAGCAACGAGCGCCTTGGCGCAGCCTCTCTCGCTTTCTTCTCGCTCCGAGAATTGCAAACGTCGAGCGGAGAAAGCAAAGTTGCCAGACAAGCAGCAACGTCCAGGATGGCGGAATTTACCATTTTTCGCGTTAAAAAAATACTTAACCTATCGCAACAAAACTGGTGGCTATGGAAAAGTAATCATTTATACCTTGTGTAAATTATTCAAGCACCTTAATGGGCTTTTATGACCCGAGTTAGGAAAGAAAACGACCCTTTGCCCCATAGACTCCCAGCAAAATTTAGCAATTAAATGGCGTCCATGTCCCGTGATCGCCGATCTAGCAGTTGCACCCACCCTCACTTGAGCCTCCCTACTCCCTCCAAGCGATCGCAGCTCACCAAGCGGTGACGGCCCGCGGCGGGGCGCGCGGAGCAACTTCCCTTTCACTCGCCGCCGGCGCGGTAGCGGGCATCATCAGTGGCGCGAACGCGGCGGCACGCACGCACTCCTCGCACTGACTCATCGTGCGTCAAGCTGGCAAGCCGTCCGTCGTGAACGTGCTTCCCTAGCGGTGCGCGCTTCATCTGGTGACGTTACTTCGACCACCGGATTATCGGGACCCGGATCACGGCGCTAGGAGCCCGGGGTTAGTGCCTCGGGTCTCAAACTTGGATTACGGCCTGGCATGCTGGGAGACGGCCCAGCGCTGCGATGGCATCGGTGAGTACGGCGCCGCGCCGCCGGCTTTTGCGTCGCGGGAGGCGTAAAGAGTCAGCTGCCGCCGCTGTCGATTTGACGTTCGCTGGCCTTTATTTCTCTGCGTACTCGGCGGCTGGAGCCTGGAGGGAAAACAAGAATATCCGTGGCGACGTCTCGACGTGTGCAATCGCGAAATGGAGTGATTTAGTGGTCCAACTTAGGTAAATGTTTTTTTTTTCTCTCCTTTATTTTTTTTTTTTACGTTTTTTTTTTGTTTAGTTTTCCGATTGGATGGCGACACTCATCCGTGTGATTAGGGTCAAAAGTTCCCTTAACGTTTTGTGTATTTATTTATTTATTTATTTTTTCATTGTGGCGCGATTGAGGGCGTGTTAAGTTCCTTTCGTTCAATTCAATCGTCGAATGGGACCAGAACTGCATGATTCTTCATCCCCTGATCTCGGGCTTTCTCAATGTTGGTCACGCCTTTTTTTGCTTTTGAGCTTGTAGAAACTTTGCTTTCGATGATGCAAGTCCTATTTGCAGCAGATTTTTCTTCTTTTTTTTTTTTCGCAGAGTGTACCGGCCTTTCACGATATGTCGTTCTCCTCGCAATCGCTTAGTTTGTGACGACTTCAAAAATATCGCGGAAAATTGATCCCGCGAATACATATATCACCCCGTGGAAACGACTACATAGCATATATTCTCTCTATTATCGCAAAATGTTGTGCCCGCGAAATACTTCTGAAACCCATGGGCCATGGTTCACAAAATTCGCGAAATATTGAGCCTTCAAAAATAAAGTCTTTTACATTTCTTTTTTTTTTTTTTTTTTTTATTCGCGGTTTGCCCGTCATGATCTGACATCTTCGCTGAAAGTAACCGCAGCAGCGATCGCACGAGTTGAAGCTTCGTTGACCGCGCCCCGCACCGACCCCTCGCGTCGTTGCAGACGATTACGCAAAACTTGCGGGCTGATGGATCAGAAAATAAGATCACCGGCCGTCCTTGAGACGTTATACTGAACTGCCGGCATCACTAATTAGTTCTCTGGTCGCGACGACTCCCATCGCTGAATCAGACGGGAGATGTACGGTGTACGTGATATCGCGACACACTGGCGCTTGTCCTAGCAGGTCCGTTTTCAGGGCGACACCCACAGTCAACAAAGGGAGCTTCCTTTCACAACACAGCGGGTGTGAAGAGCGCGGGAGCGCTAGAAAAACGTGACCATTTGACGTAAGAAGCTGCTTGCGATGGGGGGACAAATTTTGTGCCCCGTCACGTTCGCCAACAAGAAGCGACAGCTCTGGGTCGCACGACGGGACAATAGGCAGGTTGCTCGCGCGTCGTTTTGTTTACACGAGCCGGCGAGTGTTGATTGTTCTTTGCCCGGGAGCGCCATCCGCTGGAAGATGAGGCGCTGACAGGGACGCGCTTGGGTGTGTTGACTTGCCGGTTGGACATTTTGTGACGCACTCACAACCTCATAGCATGGTCTAGCGAGCAGTGTCATGCAACGGTTCGTGATGCGACGACGTTTTAGAGTGAATTGTTCTTGGCAAGCTATTGCTTTGGAGAAAGAAAAAAAAATACATCGGGACATTTTTATTTGGGATCTGACTCATTCAGGCATTGTCTGTGACCTTCCTTTCTTTTCAACGCGGAAAAGCAGCTCTTTCGGGGGTCACGAACGCGTCATGAGTGGACACGTGCATTCGCGTGGAAACTAAACCGAAATGTTTGATAAGGCCAGCTTAGATCTTGGGCCGGGGCCACGCGGGAAGGAGCCTCAATTTTCTTCTGTCCCGCCTGTCCCCGAGCTGGACATTTCGTTCAGTTTTACCGAGGCAATATCCACGAGCATTTTAACCTTCCCTTTATCGTCTCTACTGGAATCCACCCTTCCATCTTCCCCGGCGTAACCCAGGGCCCTAGGTAAAGCTGGCAACATCGAGTCGGCCGCCAGGGTGGCTGACTCGATGTTGCCAGTCGTGACTTCTTTTGTACAAGTAATATTGTTGGCAACATTCTGGAGATGCGAACACGCGATTCTGTTACAAATAACCGGCTTCGAGGACTTGGTCGTTGCCTTCCGCCGTGCTTTGGTTTCCTGTGCACGCTCCAGGCTCATGAGACGCCGATATTAGGCTTGCTCCGGAGGCGGGACTGCTGAAACTCCTCCCCTCTGGCGCTGCTCATCTTCGAACCGAAGAATAGGGTCGTCTGGAGCCACGAGATAATCCGTCGTTGAATGCCCCATCGTCCCTTTGTACGATGTGACGTTGGCAATATCGTGCCCCCCCCCCCACCCCCCCCCCCCCCCCCCCCACCCCCGCTTTGTTTCCGGGCAAAGCTCAACGGAACCACCCGGCGGCGACGCTCAAAGCCGTGCACCTGTGGCGGTCGGACTGGTCCTCTCCCTCAACAGCGAAATGCAAAATGAAGGGATCGGCTTGTGGGGTTGAAACGGCCCCGCCATCGCGCAGGAGTCGCGCGCGTTGCCAACTCGGCCAATATTTGGGGGCCAGTTTTGACTTCCGCGGTATTCAATCGATTTCTGGCGTTCCCTCGATAGCCTTTCGAGCACTCGAGGCTGCAGGCGTAACTCTAGAGGCGACGGCGTGTCTGTTCGTTGCGCCGCTTGGCGTCGCGGCATTGATAACGCCAACGAAGAGACGTTTTCCCTTCGAACTTTCAGGTTATCAGTATACCGCGAGTCACGGGAATCAAAACATGCCCCATACACGCCGTCAATCACAATGTCCCGCTTGTAACGGATTCCGCAACGAATGTAAACAGGACGATCTTGCCCCGACCCTACTTAGAATTGACCTTTATGCGCCTCTGTGATGACATCGCGGTCAACGCTGCCGAATGATTTTTTTTTCCCGCCACTGTCACGATGCAACGTGATTGTTTTGCGTCGCGGTAAACCAGGATCGATCGCGTTGCGAAACGTGTTTTCGTAATCCGCTCGACCCAGAGGGGAACAGGAAATGTCGTCGAACAATGGTCCTTCCTCCCCTTTACATACCTTATTGAATCTCTAGATCGCTGCCTTGTGTCGGCCCGTCTCCTTGGAGGAAAGCGACATCGACGGCAGCGCCTGCTTGCCCCGCACAAGCTCGTTGCAATGGGACCCGGCAGGGTAGTATTATGTATATAACAACTGTATCGCGGTACTCGCAACACGCCGCGCACTAATTACTCGGTTCTGTAAATGGAACTTGGCCAGGGACTGCACTGTTGACACATTTACACCAGGCATGTAGCCAAGGGGGGTGGGGGGGGGGGGGGGGGGCATGGTCCCCCCCCCCCTCCCCGAAATCTTCCATTTTGCTAGGACCTTCTTTCCCCCCCTCTCATACATCATTTTGTCATGGGCGGGCTCCCCCCGAAACAAAATCCTGGCTACGTGCCTGATTTACACCCATAAAAGTGTTCCGAAGTGTATATGACCCGCGCTCCCCTTACCCAACAAAGAAAAAAAAAAAAAAGGAAAGCTGGCATTGAAACAGTCAGCATTATCATTATAAACAGAGTAATTGTGTTGTTTGTAAGTTTAGGCACGGGTGGTTAGTCAGCCCCGGCGGGCGTCTGGTCTCTGGTGTCTCTATATTGTTGTAGACGAGAAATTTAACCATTGCGGTACCACCGCTAGCCTGAAACCTTTAACGTACGTCGCGCAGTGGCGATTCACGACCGAGCACGCCGGTGCAGGCTCATTCGGATCAAAACGGTGCAGGGTTGGCGGATCAAAACCAGCACCCCTGTGTCCTGCATCGTGCTTCGAGCGGCGCTGAGTTGACACACTCTGCCGCCGATCCCCTCCAATTAATTACTGTACTGCGAGCCTCAAGCGCCCATACTTGTCATTGTCGACGTACTTCGCGCCTCGTGGCTATTCACTATTTCGATGTTTACAAACTCGGCTTATAGTGATCTCCACAGCTCAGCACGCTCGTGTGCGTCGGTCGCTTGAGAATGTCGGCAGAGCGCCCGCGAAAACGTTGGAAATGGCTTTGACCCGAACAAGTGCTTTACGGTGTTCTGCGCAGCGTTCTACAACGACGCTTCTAGCAGCTGCCGGATTTTGTGCGTTGTTGCGTTTAGCGCTTTCCAGAGCTCGCACGAACAACTGGAATGCGTTATGGCCGCGTGGTCGTGGTTATGGCTAGCGATTTCGCGAACTTTTGTAGGTCCTCGACGGAATCGGGCGAAGTTTTCAACGTGTAGAAACGTTCGACGAAGTTTGACTTTTGAGCAAATTTGCCCGACTTTTACACAAAGCTCTCAAATTTTTGAGAGGCCACTAATTTACTTAAATTTATATTTCGTAAAAGGATTTCTCATGTTTACGGAATATAAGAGCTTAGATAGGTGCTTTTAATTCCTTATAAAGTTATACTGTAAACGACTTCAGTTTCCCGGGCTCATAATTTCGCGAATTTCGGTAAGTAAATTTCAAGAAATATTTCACCCACACAAAATTCCGCGATTGGGAGTGGTATCATATATGTTATTGGTTACCGAGGAGCGATATGTTCGCGTGAACAATATTTCGCCATATTTTTTTCAGGTAGCGAAATTCGCCAAACATTAAGTCTTCGCATAAGTTAACTCATTAGCAGTATTTCGTGTATTAATGTGGAACACTATGCTCAAGAAATATTGCACTTTTCCCCCGCCGAGTGTCGGAGGAAGATGTTTCGACTTTCGCGCATGCGCATATTAGTCGAACTTTGCGTTAAAAAGGTCGAAAAAGTCGAACCTGGTCGAAAGCGACCTTCGGGCAGGTTCGGGAGATCCCTCGTTTATCCACCAGTTCAAACCTCAGGCTACGGTTGCCTGGATTGCGTCTCAGAGTGGTGTGTGTTCAGCGTCCTATGCTGGCAATACAATAAAAGCTGTTCCGAACTTGGCAACAAATGGCGTCACACAAGCCGGAGCGTCACGCTGTCGGACGTCACGATCCTGGCGGTTGGTCGTAGAAATGCTGTCGAAAAGCACGAGTT